CTATGCGGATACCTGCTTTCAAAAGGAGACATGTACATGGGTGTATAACCACAACATTATATTCATCCTTGGTATGCAAAAATATGGGAAAAGCCATATAGGCCTGTCGATCTCTCAAAGATAAAAATTTTAATGGGAAAAGCAAAGAATGAAAGGAGATGTGATGACAATGGCGAAAAAAACACTAAGAAGGCTTCGAGCAAAGGATTGACAACCTCCTATTTAAGGTGTTTGCAAGAAGAACACAATAGAAAAGACAATGCAAGAATGTCACTTTTCTCCTAAGGTACATGTACCTCGCAACCAGAATTTAGGACTTTAAAACTCATTTTTATTATAAAATAAAATCAAAGGATTGATTTTAAGTGGCCGTCGTAGATTCCTACACCACATTCAAATAACGATGCGAGAGCGAGTCATGACAGTACAACAGCTTCAGCCCGCTCGCATGTTCAACATGTAGTTTACTCTATAACTTAGTGTTCAACAATGAAAATTTTTTCGTAACAAAGTGCAATGATCGGCCGACTGTTGTAAACACTAATAGGATATTGCGACAGACAATAATGTTTCTCTGGATGAACGAACTATTGGTGCAAGAAATCAATCATAGTAGGTACCTGGGTGCTTATTTTTTTTAATGTACTATGCATAAATGTGTATATTTATATTGTAGTTCACGCCACAATATTGTAAATTAGGCACAGTGTCCCAAGAAAAAGATAAGCAGTAAGCAAGTTTGTTCCAATGGCTATCTTTCTCATCACTTCTTAAAAGTGTACGGTTCTCCAAAACGGCACGCAGTCGTTGGGGTGGTGGCTCATAATTTTCTATTTTGTGACCATTGTTGGAATTTGAGTGCACGACGGACTGAACTGTTCTCTTTTTCCCTTAATATCGTATTTTTGGTTATATGATCGTGTGTTTGTTTGAGGGATTGAATTTTATTTTCACTATTCATCCCATTTTTTTCCCAAAAAAATATCAAATCAAACACCTATTTTTTATTTTTTGTATTATACTAAAAATCAATTTTACATTCAAAACATCACATCAATACCTATTTATATCACATTATACAACTATTCAAATTCAAAAATTTTACTATTCAAACCCCAATTCAAAATCCAAACCCCCAAACAAACTGTGTCAATCAACTGGTGGCTTTGATTTGGTATTTTTTATTTTTATGATTGATTTATTGCACCGTATTATGTAGGGGTGGGCAAAAAAATCAAATTGAACTATCGAACCGCTGAGCTGAACCGAATCGAATTTTTGGTTAACCGAGCAAATTTTGTTCGAATACAAATTGTTGGGAAGTGATTTATCGAACAAAATACATTCGAACACTTTAAAGGGCCAACTCCCAAAGCGTGGGCGGTTCACAGTTATAACTATGTTTCAACAACGAAAAACAATGCAGAACATAAAACAACAATAAGACAAGGTGTTTGTTGACCCGGTTCGATTATCAACCAATCTACATCCGGAGGATACCAATGCAGGAGGAATTCCACTAACCAGTGCTAATTAAGGACACAAACAATCACAACTCATTTAACTCTAATGCTAGTCATGGCTAACCCAGGAAAATACCTCATAAGGTTCTCGTTGCTACAACCTCGTACTAACAACGACCACACAGCAGAGAATTTTAGAGATTGATCATTCCCTCCGGTTGGAACTCCATTAATTCCGAACACCTTCAACCTCTCCGGCGAATTTTTCTATCAAAAACTCATTCAAAACTAAAGGGAACCGATGTGGATAGATGGATGAGAGCTTCACTCAATATTCTTCTCTATAAAGTATGATCTCGAAATCACACATTACCAATCTTCAACCCTATCCGGTTAAGTAAATCACTCACATTCCTGGAATAAAAGATTCCACACTAATTTTCCTTTGCACCGTAATCGAAGGAGTGAGTTTCCATATTTTGATCTTTCCTCAAATATGTCTTTTATCTTTTGGAAAGTCTTTGCTGCAGAAATTAAGACACCATTAGTTCATATGCCAAAATAACTTAGGGGAATTTCCATTCACATTCTCCCCCTTTTTGGCATATGAAACCACGAATAAAAGTGCATGAATTAACCTACTCACGCACTCAATCATCCAAGAGTGAGTTCAACTAATACATGCCAACATACATAAAAAAAGGGCTACAGACAGCCTTCATATTGATATGGTTGTAATCACTTCGAACTTCCAACGAAAATAGTAACAACAGATAAAATCAACAATCAGCAAGGCAGACAGAATCAGAACTTGGGCAACTCCCCCTGAAAATATGATCTCCCATTTTCCTGCATTACTCCCCCTTCGTGGGAGCAGATGACAAAAAGAACAAGTACCTTCAATTTGCTGAGAAATGGTTGCAGTAGCAACTTTATCACCGTCACCAGCAACTGTTCCAACAATATCATCAAGAATTTCAGTTGCTTTACAAACAATTTCACTTGTTCCATTTTCACGAATTCCTTCTCATTTGGTCCGCTGAAAAATGCTTGCAGGAACAACATCAACATCAACTGCAGCACCAACATAAACAACAACAGGAACTCCGGTTGATTCGACATCAGATTTGTTGTAGCAGCAACTTCGCAGCATCAACAATGATTTGTGCAACAACACAAGGCCTAGAAAATTTTCAAAATCCAGTGTAGGATTGAAATGTCCTCCACGTCGAATCAGTCCATAACCAAAACATCAACCATGGCATCAAATATGACTCTTGTCATTGCTCAATAAAAGTCTCTTCGCAACACTTCTTCTTTTTGGATTTTTCAACAAAATCTTTTCAAATTATTTTCATTCTAATATCTGTTTTTGTTCTTCTTCAAATTCTGCTTCACCATCAAAACTGATTTGTTCTCTGGAATTTCAACATCAGTAAGAAGTCCACCACGGACAAATGCAATGGGTTTGCTGTGTGAAGATTCACAAAAACCTATTCCCTTGTGATCACCAAAAGGTTTTCCAATCGAAAGTACTTCATCCAATTTCTCCTTTCCCTTTCGAAGTCTATCATTATCTTGCTTCAGTTGCACATTTTCAATCTTTAATCTATCAGCTTTAGTTGATTTATCACGAACATCCTTCTTGAAAATTTCAATTTCATCATCCAACTTTTTTTTTCCTTTCCAAAGACGATCATTCTTATCTTTTAGCCTCAAATTTTCATTCCTTAAAGCATCTGATTCAGTTGATTTAACAGCAAAATCCTTCTTCAGAACTTCAATCTCATCTTCTAATTTATCAATCTGAGCTTCCAATCGATAGATGGTATCAAGTAGCTCATTGTTCTTCACCAAAAATTTCTTTTGCTCTAACACCATCTCCTCATAGGCTTCAATCAACTCATCAGCATCAAGTTCTATGGATTCCTCTGAAGCTTTATCAGTAGAAGCACCATCATCTTTAATAGATTCAAATTCATCGGCCATGAAAGCAACAACTTCATCATCTTCAGCTTGTTCCTTGACACAGACAGTGTCCTCTTCATCATTGTCACTCCATGTTGCTTGATATGCTCTTTTCTTCTCTTCGGTTTCTTCACAAGAGTAGTAACACCATCTTCATCTTGAATGGTTTTCATAGGATGAGACCATGCACACTCAACAGCATCGAAACGTCTTCACCTTGAAGCATCAGAAAGGCTTCCATTTTGTTCTTCCAACTTTGGTAATTTGTCCCATCGAACAATGGAGGTCTTGATGTTGAACGTCCTTCCTTACTCATGTCTGCAACTGTGACCAGATCTACTCAATGAATTAGAGAACACTGCTCTGATACCAGATGTTGGGAAGTGATTTATCGAACAAAACACATACGAACACTTTAAAGGGCCAACTCCCAAAGCGTGGACGGTTCACAGTTATAACTATGTTTCAACAACGAAAAATAATGCAGAACATAAAACAACAATAAGACAAGGTGTTTATTGACCCGGTTCGATTATCAACCAATCTACATCCGGGGGATACCAATCCAGGAGAAATTCCACTAACCAGTGCTGATTAAGGACACAAACAACCACAACTCATTTAACTCTAATGCTAGTCATGGCTAACCCAGGAAAATACCTCATAAGGTTCTCGTTGCTATAACCTCGTACTAACAACGACCACACAGCAGAGAATTTTAGAGCTTGATCATTCCCTCCGGTTGGAACTCCATTAATTCCGAACACCTTCGACCTCTCCGGCGAATTTTTCTATCAAAAACTCATTCAAAACTAAAGGGAACCGATGTGGATAGATGAATGAGAGCTTCACTCAATATTCTTCTCTCTAAAGTATGATCTCGAAATCACACATTACCAATCTTCAAACCTATCCGGTTAAGTAAATCACTCACATTCCTGGAATAAAATATTCCACACTAATTTTCCTTTGCACCGTAATTGAAGGAGTGAGTTTCCATATTTCGATCTTTCCTCAAATATGTCTTTTGTCTTTTGGAAAGTCTTTGCTGCATAAATTAAGATATCATTAGTTCATATGCCAAAATAACTTAGGGGAATTTCCATTCACACAAATATTGCATATTTGATATTTCTTCTGTTCGGTTCGGTTCGGTTCGGTTCGGTTTTGGTTTTTGATATTTTTTTATTCGGTTAACCGAACCGAATATATTTATATTATTATTTTTTTTAAATTTATATTAATAATTATATTCGCTTCAATTTCGGTTTGAATATTTGAAATATTTGCAAATATTTTTATTTAATTAGAATTTTAATTATTTTTTAATATATATTTTTTGAATTTTGATTCGGTTCGAATTATTTGCAAATATTTTCGGTTAATTGAAAATTTTGATTCGGATATGATTTGCGATTTTTGTTTGATTCAGATATCAAATATCTGCGTATTTACAAATTATCGGACTGTGTCCACTCCTGGTATTATGTTACCTTGGTTTCGGTGGCCTTGCTTTCTCGGGGTTGGTTAAATATGGCCCATTAAAACCACAAATTTTAATTTTTATTGAGGTAAAATCATTAAAAACACTTCGACACGTCCTTCAAATTTATTTGTAATAAAATACATTACATCATATTCCAAACATTAACCCAACATCTTACTCCAAACACGAAAATAAACATTTTTCTTAAAGAAGCTTTAAAACCACAATCTCAAACAATGACCAAACAGACCCAAAGTAATCAATTACTTAATTCATCAAAGACCCGACGTCCAACGGACTTGGTTCGAGGTCCCGGAGCTCATCAATGGCGTCAAACACTTGCATGTATTTCTCACCAAGACATACACATGCCTCAATCCCATCCCCAGCACTGGTGTCCAATAAGATAATCAAATTCGCGTACTCCGACCTCGAATGATCAAACGCAGTCGTCACCCAGACAGGCTTCCCCCACCCAAAGTCAATGTCGTAAATACCTATGTTGCACCAGCTCGACCATAGCAGCGGATCTGCCCCGCCGGACAAATCCGCCACCACCGACTGCATATTAACTTGGTACCCAAGAAACCCCCCGTCGCCTTGCATCCTCGTAACATATTCGCCGTCGATTCTCGCAACAGACTCCCGCAATTTCCTCGCCAAGTCTTTGTACACACCCCCGTCATCGTTCCGGCAGGACGCCGTCGTAGAGGCCGTACAGTTTCCAAAAACATCCATCCCCAACGGCGGCTGGGCTCGTCTTCTCAGGTTCACAGGCCAGACTATGACCGAATCCGATTTTCCATTTTTTAAGGATGCTTCCATGAAACATTTCCAGAGAAATGCTGAGACAGCCTCCACCCTGGTAGGGTTTTTCAAGCCTGTTTTGGCCTTAAGCGACGAAATCGCAATGGAGTCGAACACGTATCGCCGCATCCCCCATTTCCCAGTGGTAGAGCCAGAATTAGAAACTTTCTGTCCGAGCAGCTCATTCTTATGGGGGAATAGAATCTGTGAAATGTAATTAGGGCAGACTTCTTGTTTCGATCCCCGATTGGTCCCTGCCCAGGCCTTGAGGAAATTCACCATCGTCGTAAGATCGGCTACCTGGTGCGAAGCAAGAGTCGCGACGGCGATGGCGCCGCATTCGAAATAATTGACTTGGACAAAGACGACTCCCGACTGAGCCTTTACATATTCAAAATCCAACTTCATCGGAAAGAGGTGAAGCAGTAAATCCTGGCTAGAATTAATGACATCATGTAGGTGGCCGGGGAATTCGGCGACAGTAAAATCAACTCCGGCGTCGCTGCAATCGACGGAATGGTTGTCCTGATTGGCTCTTCCGGCGAAAGGGTAGAAGCGGGTTAAAATGATGGATAGTGAATATTTGAGCTGCTCTGTTGTCCGGTGACGATCATTGTCGGGACGAGGAGGAAAGAGGAGGAGGATGGGGATGAAATGTGGGGCGCATGTCTGGTCGATCATGGACAGCTTGTAGGTTCTGAGGTGTGCCGGTGTCGGAGAAGATGGCTTAATGTATTCCCTCGATGTGATTTTGCTCTCCATTTCAATTTCGATATTCTCCGAGTAATAAGCTTTCTTCAAAGATGATTTGCAGCCAGTGCAATTTCCTTCTCTGGTTTATGCTTTATATATATATAATGTATGGAATAGTGAGCCTGTTGTATTCCCGTCCACGAACTATTGCTCTATTTTTCTTTTTAAACACAAATTTTATATTTTTATTCTTCATTCTTTTATTACTTTTAATCTCTACCATACAATTAAGGACAAATTTGTCAATTTATAACAAAACACAATTACCTAAAAAATCGTGTAAATATATTTTACGAGAATAAAAATTAGAGTGTAGGAGTATTATTTAATTCTATCGAAAAAGATGATGATTAATATTAATATTTAATTATGATACTATTGTACTTGGTTTTATTTAATTAAAATTATAATAATTGATAGTAGACATATAAAATAATATTATTCATATTAATCATACATATATAGATACACCATGTTATAAATGTTATCTTATAATACTATTTTTTATCTTTTCAATGTCAGAGTAAAATTTGTTCATTTTTCCCAAGGAACACATTATTATTAAGTCGATATGAATTTGCTTTTCTACATTCAAATAAAAAAACACCTTATAAATGTTATCTTATAATCAATGGTCTCCCTCTCTCTCTCTTTTTTAAATCCTTTTCAGAAGGGATTTAGGGTTTATTCATCCAATTTATTTTTGGGTGAAACAATTTTTTATAAATATTAAAAATACAATATATATATATTAATATAATATCTATAATAATATTATGTTGATATAAAAAAATTAATAATTTAATATAAAATATTATTTTTACATTACCAATAATCTAAACATTGTTAAAGTATTTTTTCAACAAACAAAAAGTAAAATTCAAAGATATGAAAATATCGATTAATTAGTGTTTGAGATTAGGAATATCTAAACACTGTACGGTATAGAAAATAAACTGTAAAGTAAAATACTGGAAATTAAAGTGGTGATCCCCGAATCTCTTGACTTTCCTGTCGTTTGTAGATGATTGAAGATGCTTTCTCCAGAAAAATCCAAATCCTTAAATATTCGTTGAAGAAAACGCTTGGAACCGTCACCTGGTTTGTTACAGCAACCGCCGTCAACCGTCCAAAAAAAACGTTTTGAAACGTCGCCTGGTCAGTTACAGCAACCGTCTCGTCGCCAACTGCATAACCCAACCGACTAATCCAGCGACTAACTGGTCACTAGACCAAAAGACTCTTTGGCCGCCCCCACCAAGCGACCAAACTATCCGACCGCAGACCTTCCGACCTGCCTATCCGATCGAGGACCAACCGACCTGTAGACCGTCCGACTTGCAAGCTATCCGACCTGCGGACCTTCCGACCAGCGGACCGTCCGACCTGTAGACCGTCTAACTCGCAGATTATCCGACCTGCGGACCGTCCGACTTGTAGACCGTCCGACTCGTAGACTATCCGACCTGCGGACCTTCCGACCTGCGTACCGTCCAACTCGCAGACTATCCAACCTGCGGACCTTTCGACCTGCGGATCTTCCGACCTGCGTACCGTCCGACTCGCAGACTATCCAACCTGCGGACCTTCCGACCTGCGAACCAACCGACCGGACCAACCGACCGAGGATCAACCGACCTGCCTATCCGACCACAGACCTTCCGACCTGCCGATCCGACCGAGGACCAACCGACCAGACCAACCAATCGAGGACCAACCGACTTGAGCGCAAATTTTTCTCCTTTTCCACCCGATTTCGTGTCTAACTTCCTTCAAGATTTTGCTATTCTTATTATTATTATTATTATTATTATTATTATTATTATTATTATTATTTTTTGTGTGTAACAAACATAAAAACATATTTACCCAAAAACACAAAGTGAAGCCGTTGTGATTGAATATTGGTTTAGACCGTAGTTGGAAGATCAGTTTAGATGTTTGATATGATAACTTGTTTTATTAATAGTTGATTTATGATATTATATTGGTTTAAAAATCATCGATTAATAAATATATTTAGTATGTATATTATTTTAAATAAAAAATAAAGTTATATATTAGTATTTTTTTTATTGGTTAGTCTCTTTGCCAAAGTGGAATGCATCATTTAACTTTTGTAATAAATTAAAAAAATAATAATATATATTGATTAATGAAAGTGTATAAGATAATTTTAATATATTTGTTTTGTAAGTGCAATATAATAAATATTTTTATAAAAGTTAAGAAGTAGTTTGGTCTATGTGAAAATTGTGATATTTTGAGTCAAACAGACAAAAATAGTAAAATATATTGAATTGAGACAAAATGAATATTAGTTATTGAAAAATATAAAAATATTTGATGAATGGTGATATTGCTTTAGTTAAATAATTGTTATATATATTTTTTATATATAAGTAACTTGTGAGAATATAATGTGTATTTTTATTATAATTTTTAGATAACTTTTTATTAGAAGTAGCATAGAAAATAAATTACAAAAACAATAGTTTTTTTTTTTTTTGCATTTACGTGTATTTCTTGTTATATCACAATCAATAGAAATGTTTATTCGTAAACTTGCGGTGTTATTAACATTTAATTTTGGTTAGTGAGTATAAGTTTAAAGTAACTAATCTTACGGATTTTTTATATTATAATGAAATAATTATTGAAATTGATATAGTTTATTGAAAAATATAGATGAGTACATCATCAAAATAAACTACCACAAATTTTCCGATAAATTCGCTCAACTCATGGTTTATCAAACACATGAAAGTGTTGGTGCATTCGTCATTTCGAATGACATGACTAACCATTCCGACAAACCAAATATGATTTTAAAGGTTGTTTTCCACTCTTAGAAGAGTGGCTTAATATATCTAATTATTCTACCACCTAGAAAGATTAATACTAATATCTAATTATGATACTATTATACTTAATTTTACAAGTTATAATAATTGGATGGTAGATATGTAAAATAATACTCCATCTTAATCATACAAATAAATACACCATGTTAGAATTAAATATCTTATGATACCTTTTTTTATCTATTCAATGTCAGAGTAGAGTTTGTTCATTTTTGTTGGATAATCGATTATTTTGCAATAGATTATTTTTGTGTATGGGGTTTGGTTAATATTTTGGCTATTTTGCCTGTCTCGAGACAAACCAAACTGTGCAACCCCAAATTAAAACCTGGGTATATGGCCTAAGTCGCAATATTATTTTGATAAAATATTATCAGTTGGATAAATTTATTATAATCTCAAACGGAAGGTTTGAAATTAGAATAAATTACAATCGTTTCAAATGAAATGTTTGAAATTAGAATAAATTATGATCGTTACAAATAGAAGTTTTGTAATTAGAATCAATTACGACTGCTTCAAACGGAAGGTTTGAATTTATAATTAATTACATTGATAATTAAGGTCATAATTATGATCGTAATTGATCCACTGCCATTTTGGCAGAGTGGAGACGCCTATATAAAGGGCATCTCCCTTCATTCTAATTACTAACAACAATCCTTTCGTCCTTCTCTCATCTCTTCTAGTTTTCTGGCGGCCTCCCCAACTCAGTTCCTCTCTCGTTTTTGTTCGTCGGAGCTCCAACGATTAGAGGTGCCACTCTCATTGGAGACAGAAACCGTTTTATCTTTGAGTTAGAACGCCATCCACCGGAGGCACTACCGAGGCGTATCTAATTTTCGGAAAGAGGATCCATCCTCGACTCGGTTTCACGTTTATTCTCGCAATACCCATACTTTCCAGCAATCGAAAATTAGATAATACTTTGCGAAAATGTCAACCCCTGCCGAAACCGCCGCCAGAGCCATCGCCGGAGAAGTTTCCGGAGCCGTCGCCGGAAAATTCTCCGGAGGAATCACCGGAACCGCAGACAAGGCAGTCGCTCCTTCACTTGGGCCAGTTCCCTTTATGGGCAGCCCTTTGTTTTCTGGATTTGCCCCTGGGGGATATGAGGGATTTCCTGGGTTTGTGACCGCACCCTCTGCTTCATTCGCGGCCCAAACTGTTGGTCCTGGGCTTGGCCCACTGATGATGCCCCATGTACAAGTTCCAAAACCATTCACGGGAATGGACTTTAAGAGGTGGCAGGAGAAGATGCTCTTCTACCTGACTGCGATTGGGTTTGTCATGTTCGTGTTGCACGATGGCCCAATCACCCCAGAGTCTGGTGCGGATCAGCAGACGCATGCGAATTATGCATCGTGGGCACACGGAGACTACATGACAAGAAATAATATATTAGGTAGTCTCTCTAACTCTCTTTATAATGGATATTGCAAAATAAAGAGTGCGAAAAGGTTGTGGGATGCCCTTGAGAAAAAATATAAGTCTGATAATGCCCGGTCTAAAATGTTTGTTGTGGCCCGGTTTATGGACTATAAGATGGTCGATGACAAGTCTGTTGTCGAACAACTGGAAGAATTTCAACATATTGTTCACTCTGTTATCGACGAGGAGATGTCACTGCCAGAAAAGTTCATCACGAGTGTGATGATCGAGAAATTGCCCCCGAGTTGGAGCAACTTCAAGCACGGGCTGAAGCATGAGCTAAAGCAAGTGGGGCTTCAAGATCTGATTGTCCGAATCCGGATAGAGGAAGACAACAGAAAGCAGCACAAGGCTAAAAGTGGAGATATTGCTAAAGCCAATTTGGTTAGAGATCCCGCTAAAAAAACGTGCACGCCCAACTCAAACGGACAAGGGCAAAGCCAAACAGTCCAAGTTTACAGGTAACTGTTTTAACTGTGGTAAAACAGGACAGTAGGTTAAGGACTGCAAGACACCAAAAAGAAAGAAGCCGAGTTCCCAACTGGTCGAGACAAGCCACTGGACTGATCGTGATCTCAATAGTGACAACCTTGTCGTTGTTGTGTATGAAAAAAATAATGTGGATAGTCCAAGAGCTTGGTATATTGACACCGGAGCAACCTGCCATGTTTGCTCCGAAAAAACAAACTTCTCGACCTACAAGGAGACCGAAGGGAGGAAGCTACACATGAGAAATCATGCAACTTCTGAGGTCCAAGGCGTAGGGAACGTGGTGCTAAAGATGAC